AAAAAAAAAAAAAAAAGAAATGAAAAGAAAAACCGAAACAAGCAAGCAAAAAGAAATCAAACCTATGGGGAAGGAAAGGACCAGAATTCAGGCTGACTTTCTCTGAATTTACTTTGTAGATTTAACGCCGGAACCATGTAAATATGTTCCATAGTTACAGAACGAAATTAAATTAAAAAATCAATCCCTAAAAATCAAAACCGAAATGAAACAAACGAAGCTAATGATGTATTGAGCTGTAGCAAAATTACACAGAGAGAAACTATTTCCAGAGATTTTGTAGCACAGCCATGTGAAGTACATCCCTAGCGGGATATACCCTAGGACGGGAAAGCACTGCAAATAATTGGACACTATTTTGGACACTATTTCGGTAGTCACTGCGGTGGTGTTACTGTTCTGAAAGTGTTGTGGGTGTTTCTGGGGTAAAGTAGACAGGTACTTATGCTGGTGTTGTAGGTACTGGATTTTCAGTGTGGAGCAAAGAGAGACAAAGGCCAATAACATTACTAAAGATCTTATAGCCCTGAAATTGAGTTAGAAGTATCAGTATGTGTTTCATCAGGAGAAGGAGGAACAGGGGGGTAAGAAGAAGAGGAAGAAGAAGAAGGAGAGGGAGGGGGGAGGAGGGGGGGAAGAAGAAGCATTATTTCCAAGCTGTCCATTAACGGAGCCTGAAAATGGCATCCAGTGCTAGAAAAAGGAGCACCCCTGATGCCCAGATTTTGGTATCTAACTATCATTTCCTCCTGGAAAGGACAAGGTTCTCTGAAGATGTGGCCGATCCCAGGGACAGTGCAGGAATTGGGGACAGCTTGGACCATCCTGTCAGACTGCAAGGAAGCTATCGGACTGTCGGGGCCCTGTCAAAAGAACTCCCCAACCAAAGAGGCCAACGATGGGTCAATGTGGCATCATCACAAATAATAATGGCAGTGGGTTGAAACATACCAGATGTGTTAAAAATCCTTAAGTACATAGTAATATGCCAAAAACGAGACAAAAAGATGCCCCCCTCCCATCCCATGCCCCCCCCCCTTTCTAAAGTGACTCATCTGTCACTTTAGAAAATGCTAAGGAATCACATTCATTTTCCTGAAAACTGGTTAAGTGATGGGAGAGGACTAAACTTTTACCATGCTTTCCCTAGATGAACTGAACCTTCGGGTAACTAAAAAGTTGGTAAGGGGAAACTTCTTTTTACTGGAAAGGGTTTCAGCTGATAAATCAAGGAGAAATTATGATATTTGACTGTCCCCACTTTGCAACCCTACTGAAATAATAATAGATCACACAGGGTGATCAATGGTCACCACACAATAGTAAGAGAGACAGCCAGACTTTATGCCTTCTGATGTAAATGCACAACACCATCTAGGAGGTAATATTTGGAAAAAACAAAACAAATCATCAAACCTTGAATCTGATCAAGCCTCTAGTTCTAAGTTCCAATTTACTGCAAATATAGTGTTCAGAGGAATGTGTTAAATGACCCCACAGAGAGGCAATCAGCAAAATCCAGGCTGTGGAAAATTCGATAGGGCAAATGATTAAGTTTCTTTACTAAATAAATTACAAGAGAAAGAGAGAAAGGAGAGACAGAATCTATAGATCAGCTGAGACCTAAAAAAACCAGAACAATTGCGGTCGTGTGGACCTCATCTGGACCCTGAAGCAAATAAACCAACTAGTAAAAGAAATGATGTGGTGATCAGGGAAATGTGAACGCTGACCAAGTATCTGACGATAGCAAGGGGGCTTGATATTTTTAGGCACAATGATGACAGTGTGGTTACTGTGGTTGTGTTTTGAACAGAGGCTTTGTGCTATTTCTCTGCAGAAATATTTAGGGAGGAAAGGATACAGTGGCCTGGGATCCGCTTAAAAATATTCCAGGGGAGGGGCGCCTGGGTGGCGCAGTCGGTTAAGCGTCCGACTTCAGCCAGGTCACGATCTCGCGGTCCGTGAGTTCGAGCCCA